AATGTGTAGCGGCTGTCTGTGCAAAGGAAAACTTCAGTTGATCACACAACACATCGAATCAGTAAAAATCACCGACCTTTAAATTCTTAAAGTAACGGCAACAAAGTATCAGAAACGATGAATACCCTTCGTTCCACCGGTCAGACGAAACGCCATAACAGAGCGGATAACGCCGAACACCTCGTGGCTGAGCAGTGTGTAAACCTTGCCGGTGTTTGGATCAGGCCGCAAAATTTCCAGGTTGTGACCACGGCCGACGCAGATCTCCTGTTGTTTAGTGCCAGAGAAATTGCCGTTAACAGCATGGTATATGGCGGTTGCCTTCTGCAGCGTCAGGTTATAGAGATACATTCCAGGAAAACTAAAAAGAATGTCCAGTAAAGCAGTCAAGCATCACATACACACAGACAGACGGCCAGTCAAATCGGCAAATAACGTAAACGCGGAACAGACTTGGAAAGTCAGCCACTAATTAGCGAAGGAGAAAGTTCTGTATAACATTTCTGCGATACTGATATTTACGGGGGAAAAACTGAAGTTTACTAAGCGGAAGGGGAAAGGGGAAGACAGGTGGAGACAAAGGAAAACAAGCACGAAAAAAACGTACATTTAAGCGTCATTGCTAAAGCTTTGCATGGCATAATCGGGAACAGGAAAGCGGGCAGTCAGTAGTTTGCTTCGCGCTTTCTGTGTGGGCTAAAACCGGATGCGCTGAGTGAAATTTTTTAACTGCCCCCCCCCTCAGCAACGAATTCACCTCACTATGCCTTGAAGAAACCAGACAAGATGAACAGCACACCACTGACCCGAGAAACAACAATTACTTGCTTGTAGTATTTAGATGTACTGCATCAGCGGAAATTTTCTTCCGTGAGTATTTTCTCTGAAAATTCAGGGTTTATCTAGAAAAATTAGTTTTATTACTACCGCTGAGAATAACCAATACGAGTTGCATTCCCATCGGCGGTTCGAAACGGCTTCGAACTCATCAAGCGCACACAAAATGAAGTGACTGATGCTGTGCATTGCTAATACCGTAATATGTAGCCATGACTTTCATAAAGGCCCTTCTACCTGTTCAGACAACAAACACGTAGCAGTTTATTTAAACCATTAGAGCTAACGCCCATTCGACGTTCACACAGACAGTAAAATCTAACCGCACGGTAAATCAAAAATTTTGTGTGGTTACAATATCTTCAAAATTGTACTGTACAATTCCCATTACTCCTTCAAAGAATACTAATTTCGAACAATCGCTTCACCTCCAGTTTTGAACCTGGCTACTCCTTCCGAAGTGAGCGAGGGAAGCTTAAGAACGCTTTACCATGGACCTGTCAATGGAGAACTTAGATCTACTGGAACCCAAAACCGAGTGACAATGTCAAGAATTCATCTGGACTTCAGTCGCCAACAGACTGCATATCACATAGATCATGAGAGTTATCGTCTTTAGAGTTTCTCGTTCGACATTCGGATTGTGCAGTAGAGTTCAGAAGCGTATACAACGAACTAAATTGCTTAGGTCGCAGAGCGTCGTCATGCAAGCAGTTCTTCGATAGAACTGCATGAAGCCGACGCATCAACGACCGCATTCTTCTCATCATCACCATCATCATCCAGCATGAGCAGTGGATCAGCAAAAGTTAGGCCGTAAAACCTTATACATGAATCAAGTGTCCATGGAACTGCATCGTTCAGAATTTCAAAAACAAATCCCCACGTTCCGTAGGGCATCACTAAAGCGTAATTTTGAATGATCCTCGACCAGAAGACCATCCCTCGCCAGAATGGCCTGAAGTTCCATAGGATGAACTCCTGCCAAAAAGGAATTAGCAGTTAGCGAGCAGGAAACGCGGCTGCCTGAAATAATGTTGGACTACAAACACCATACAACACTTATACAGCCCACAGAGCATACTATGGCTGATCTTCTGCGACATCTAAACCAAAAATCACACTGCTATTCCATATGGAAATATCTCGAGAGCAGTTCAGTAAAGTCAATATGCATAACACCTGAGAAAAGTGACATCTGAGACATGTATGCATGACACCTGAGACAATATGCATAACACCTGAGAAAAGTATCACAACAGGGAACTACCTCAACCGCAGTTAACCTGGCAAAAACCTAAAATCACAAGCTTTGGTCACTTTTTTGATACACAACATACAAACTAGGAAAAACAAAATGAAGCAAGCATAAAATTTCGCTAGAAACGATAACAGGTTCCCAACCATCCGATGTGGACTATTCAACCTGCATGATGAGCGACAGAAGACAACAGTTTGCCTCATCGCGGAAGCGCGAATGTCGAGGTAAACAGAAGTGAAGCGATATGACTCGATCACTACCCTAGATGAGGAAGCCACGGCGGCAACAGTGAAGCTTGAAATGACAGCATCGCGGAAGGGAAAGCAGAGAGCAACCGCTTTCAACAAAGGCGTGCGCAGATGAAATCCTGAGTGCGCTTCCGTTTCTGTTCAGAGAGACACGAACATGCCAAATGAATCTTCGCCAAACCAAACAGTAGCTACGAAGATTACTTGGTACGACCGTATTAGAAACGATCAGATTCTCGCCATAGCTGAAGCAGAAACAATAAAAAAAGGCACGATGTTGATGGTAGGACCACTGAGACAGCAAACTTTAGCAGAAAGCAGAAAAACAGCATATAACAATCGGATGATTGACCACAACCGATGTCGTGACCCGTGTCTCTAGCACCTACTTCAAGATCGAGATGTGGGTTGGCTTCGGAAGTCGTTTCGATGCTTGCGGCGGTTCATACGTTTGGAACTAGGAACACCAACCAAATATTAAATACTCAATCTTGGCTGATAACGGAAATGAATGGTTTACAGCTTGGGTGGGACTGCCAAAGAATTCCAATTTAAATAAATTTCAAAGACGATCAGGTACAAAAATGGCATAGTTCGATCATCTACTGGGAGGCAAGCAAAACTGATTGGTCCGTCAGTTACTCGCAAGAGAACCCAGACACAAGAAGCGAAAGACCAGTAGCCAACAAATCAAACAGCAGCAGAAACTAAAGGATTAGTTCGAAAACTGTTGCTGACAGTTGAGATATATAAGTTATTCTTAAGATGAAAATGCAACAAGACAAATCAGCCGATAACTTGAATCTTAAACAGCTTAAAGTGTTTCATAGTTGTGAGAAACGATGATGACAGAAGACAAACAAAATCAGTACCTATAAAATTCGAAACTTGAATTTTAGGCCCACTCAAATACTCAGTACCGGCATATTCCCAGGACAACTACGACGCATTCCCTGGTTCAACAGAATAGCACAAAAGTCAAAAAACCCGTCAATAAAACGTTTCTCCAAAGGGAGCCAACTATGGAGCACTGAAGGAAACGGGCCAGTTTAAAACCTGGCAAAACCGATTAGAAACTTATGTGATTGCGATGAAATATGTCCCTTGTCGAAGCGGTTAATGCTTAAAGTAATCCGAAGACTTCTGTCCTGCATGTAGCACATCTGGGATAGACGGAGCTAGTAAGCCGCAGCTCTCCAGACAGAATATGTCGTTCCTGCGTCGGGAGCCATACTAAAGAAACAGCGTGAAACACCGCTTAACACTACACAACGCAAGACAGTCGGGTGACTGACCAATACCGACGCATCCGACCGTGTTTCACAAGCCTTTTTCCTGGTAGGTGGCTGGTAGCTTCGCAAATGTGGTACGGTCAGAAGTTAGCGACTTTTTAACCAGAAGGCAAGCCTCAAGACAAAACCGAAAGCACATCATAGGACAAGAATGCGCAGAACGATAAACAGTTTCACATCAATGTACCAAACAAACAGCAGAGACCTCTCGTTTACCATGTTCTTTACAATGTTGAGATGATGGAGGACTTAACCTGCATAGCAGATTTGGATAAAGGTCATATTAATACCGAAGTGCACCCAGTCTGAAACTCCGATGTACCAGCAAAGATAATTCCATAGTTAGCAAACACGACGGTCTGATGTTTTATGCGTTACTAACAGTTGAAACAGATATACAATTAAGCAAAATTTTAAATTTGTTATTAGGGCATTTTCTTAACGGCGTAAAAACTATTAATTAAAAGCCTGCGAAAAAATCTTTTGCACCATGTAACATCTGAGATACATATCTGAATCTGTTTTTAGGCATCAACATCGATACAGTGTTACAAACTTCTGTAACTCAAAAGTTTTTAACCTACTATTAAACTGATTGTGCAGCAGCGATTCAGGTGGAACTACCACTGGACTACCACCTACTACCACTATGCAGAG